TTATAATAATTTAGTCATCTTTTAGTTATCTTTTAGACGACTTTGTGCTCTCTGGGTTAATTCAATGATTTGTGTTACATTATATTTGATTTATTTCTGCTTTAATTGAATTCCTTTTTGACGCTACGAGTTATATTGAAGTTATATTAACACATTAATTAGAGAGTAACTTCCATACGACGCTATTATTATATAGGATTAACAAATATATGATTAAAAAATTTATCGAACTAAACGTTGTTTTCGAGACTTACCCTTTACCTTTGTACCAATCAGATTAACTTGTTCATCGTACGATTGAACGATACGAAGAAATCTTATCCAGTTACATTGACGCTTGTTAAGATTATAATTGGAGAAGAAGACTTCGTCATAGCAACCATATTCGCGTCTGATCTAAAAACACATCGACGATATACGTATTGATGTCGAATTCTTTTTCGTATTTATTTTAATAAATAGAAGAAGGGAGGAGGAGGTTTATTATTTTGTTTCATTCAAATAATTCAGTAAATATTTGTGATATAATTTCTTCTGGAACAAGTTTGTTATAACCACAGAATGATACCAATGTATAGATTGTTGTTATTATACTTTATACGCTTTTTAAATGTCTTCCGTATTTTATATTAAATTTATTACTATTGTGAGAGAACATCCCATACTGCAATACAGCTCTAAAGGATATCCAAAGGACGTCTACATCATAAGGATGTCCTCAAGACGCCGCTCAGAGAATTGTATTCTGTGGGATTTATTTTAATAAATATATTTGAAATATTATTTTAGTTTCACTTTTTTATGGCATAATTTTTGGTTTCTTCATTATGTTTGAACATCATTGTTTTGATATAATTTGCGTAAACATTGCACTTTAATTTCACTTCCTTTTTGTGACATTACTTTTTATTCTTTGTATTAATTCGTATTATAAAATATTAAATAAAATTAAAGAGATGTATATATATATATATAATTAAATAAAATATAAAATATTCATAGGAAGTACTCAGTGTTCGTACTTACATCATTGTCATCAAGGAGAGAATAAAGGTCAATTTTGTCGAATCTAATTGATCCTTGAAACGGATAAATCAAGGTTCCCGATGGGATAAATACATTCGACCAAACCGAAATTCTCATATCCAATATGCTTGAATCATTCTTGAAGAGATTCTTGCAGGATGACTGATCGTTGGTAAGGACCAAGGAAAATTCTCTAGGTATCAATACACAAGTTTCCATAACAGAGACTCGCGTGGAAAAAGTATTTTAAGGATTTACCACACTATATCGGTACTTCCACTTTGCGAATTATTATTTTGAATATATCTGTAATTCCACCATCACAAGATAGAATGTTTTAGTGAAATAAAATCGGAGCACATTTAGTATATTGCGTATCAAACGAAAAGTCTATTGTTAATAAATTTCAACGCAGAACAAATATAGTCACAAAGTCTTTAAAAACAATTTGTTTAATTCTTCAAAACGTTACCGTACCGCGATGTGATAATTTGTTAATTACGCGTTAATATATATATATATATATATTTGTCGCGTACTATATTAAAACACGGAGTAACACATACACGTATACGAGAATGCAAACAAACGGAGAAATAGAATCGTTCGTTGTGCAAGGTGCAAGGCCCTCAGCCGACTGGACGGGATTAACCGACTGATCTTGACCTTGCGACGGGTTAGCAGCATTTGCTACCGAATGGTGAGCCCTTCCCCTCTCGAAACCACCTATTCCCACTCGCCCCACCGAGCTCTCGCCGTGATTATTATTCTTTTTCATCGGCGTAGTAGGAAATAGCCTTAGGGATATTCGACTGGCCTCGACTGGATTTCTCCACTCTTCATCAGCCGCTCGCTGTCATGTGATCGAGCCACTGTTAACAACATCCTCGATTGAATGAGATATGGGAAATTTATAATGTTCTCCTATGAGCGAAAGTAAGAAATAGACGAGGCAAGCTATTATTATAATTTCTTTGTAACGTCTTTAATTCTTCATTTAAGTAACTGATACATTTGTCAACATTTACGTGTAAAGAATCATGTTTTATCCAAACAAAATAGATTCTACGCCAGTGTAATGTTCACCCCACCACATGCACTTGGCGTGAGGGTAACTTGAGTGTGGAGCGAGTGCCGATCTGTTCAGCCGGCATAAGGAAGCCGACCGGTAATCCTCCTCGTCTTCTTCGTCATCTTCGTCGCTGTTGTCATCGTTGTCTTCTTCTTCTTCTTCTCTTCTTCGCTCTTCCACCATTCGCGACGATGCTTCAAAGAAACCACGTGGATGTCCGCGCACCTGTCGCTCTTTATTCTCCCTCTCCTTCTCTCCCTTTTCCTTTCTTTTTCTCTTCTTTCCTCTTTCTTTTTCTCTCTCTCTCTCTTTCTTTCTTTTTCTATCGTTCCCTATCTTCTTACAATGTCTGTTCTTGTCTATCCTACTGTTTCCAGAAAATAGCCTTCATCGTATCTTTTTCTCTGTTTTCATCGTGCTTCCATCAGGTCTGTTCTACTAATCTGCTGGCAACTGCTCACTCCCCACCAGTTACTTCTTCCCCTGTGAAGCAAATCTTTCCCGCACTGGAGGCACAGAGATCCTCGTGCTCTCTTTCTCGAAGCTCTTTTTACTCTCATTTATCCTTCCTTCTCATTTGATTCCCATTGGTGTCTCATTTCGCTTATACATTTTCGACTAAAACTGAAGAATTCAACAATATGCGCAACTATCGAAAAATTCCCTCGATATTCCATACCTAAAAATTTTAAATGGTATAGAAGTACAATCAAATACGTTTGTCATGACTTTAATATCTGATCTTTATATTTATTGTGAGACTTTATTTATTGAAAAAATTGATTTTGTTAAAAAAAGTATTACTTATTACAAAATTAGCAAAAGTAACATATTGCAGAATGTATGCAAATGTTTGTATATGTATATACACATATAACTTTTCCGCATATAGGCTGTTTAATACTAAAAGTTTATAGTACATAAACTATAAACTATATTAATAGTATAACAGCAATTGATTTATGGAATAATTATTTTGATAGGAAAATCTTGAAAAAAGGTGAGAGCTTAATGTAACTAATACAATATTTTAAATAATACTTTTAGGTGTTAATTTAATTTAATTTTCTTCGACAACTTTTATACATAAAATTTGTCATTAAATATGTTATTTCAGTAAGATTTCTTCGCTTTGATATGATTTTAATTAATTGTGATTTTTAATGATTTTTTTCTATTTTCTTATCCGAAACCATATTACTTTTAAATGTCCTGCGCAATCTTTTAAATTTAATAAAATCGGGTATTATATTTTCATTTTCTGTCTTTCTAAATACTACCAATAATAGAATTTCTTTTTTCTATGTTATTTCTCTTCGCTGTTAAATTTTCCTTTGCACATTTTTTTCTTCACTGTCGTTGCATCAAACTTTTTCGAAACCTTGTAAAACAAATATAGTAAATTATTCTACAGCATATATTTTATTAATTATCAACGTATTTATAAAATCTTTAGGCATTATAAAATTAAGTTTTTATAAAATATTAAAATATCCCTAATGTAGAAATTCTTTAGTAGAAATGTCCACGATAGCGCCACGATAATGGACAACGCGGCGCCACGATACTTTGCCACTAAAGATAGAATTTACTTTTCTTTTGTTTAAATGGGCATGAAAATTTAATAAAACAAATTACAGTACTTAATATATAGAGTGTCCCAAACCTACGGGATCATCTTCCGTGAGCAGATAGAGCGAACTGAACTGAGTTGAAAAGTCCTTTATCATTTTGCAATTTTCGCAATACTTTAGAAGATATTAATTTCTAAATATCACTGAATAAGCACGTATTCGCACGGACTATCGCTATAAGTATACGCTTATGAGTTACGGTCGCTTGAGTTATGACGCCGAACGCGCGCCAATCAGGCAGTCCCCATGTGACAAACGACCGCGACTGATGGGCGTATACTTTGTGGTAGTCCGCGCGGATACGTGCTTATTGGCTACGTTTACACCGTGCATTTAGGCCGCGGCCTATACAATAGATGTCTTTGTTTATCCTGTATATTAAACAGAGACACCTATCGTATTGATCGCGGACTAAGCGCACGGTGTAAACGTAGCCATTCAGTTGATCTTTAGAAATTAATATCTCCTAAAGTATTGCGAAAATTACAAAATGGTAAAGGACTTTTCGACTCAATTCAGTTCGATCTATCTGCTCACGGGAGGTAATCCCGTAGGTCCGGAACATTTTGTACATTATACAATGCCTAACAATGAATAAATCATATAATTATTACCTGAAATAAAGTATGAAACCTATTATAATGCAACATATTAAAAACAGAATCAGAACCAACGCTGAATAAGCCACAAATTTTTCGTTTCGCATCCATCCAAAAATTGGTCGAGTTAGTTTATCTTCCATTAAATGAGTACGCCAATTTGGAGGGTTAAGAACTTGTCCGATTGATAAAAATATTTCATAATAGATAGTACACAATAAAATTTTCAATAATAAAAATTTTAATTGGGAAAGAAACAACATTTTCTACAGAAAGTAAAATAATTTTCCATCGTTTTGATAAATAAACAGCACAAAAGTTGTAGCAACACTGCTGCAACATTGCAGCAATATTGTAGCGTTATTTTAGCGATATTGCTGCAATTAATTTCGTGTTTTGTATGAGAAAAGATTTTTATAAGAATGTTTATAATATTATATTAATAAATTTATTACCGAACGCTTCAACAGGCGTACATGTGTATGTATGTGCGTTTATATAGCCGTATGAATATTACCCAGATAGCAAAATGTTAGTAGAATGTCGACAGATTAGTAGCAGATTTGATCAGATGTGTTAGTTAGATTGACTTTAATTAATATCGCATTCTGCTCCTGTTCTGTCGACAGTATCTATTGAATTCTATGTCAACAGATTGGTGGACAGAAATTAAACAGAACGCTTGTTGACATTGCCAGCAGATTGGCAGAAACCGAGCAGGATCTGCTGAGAGAATCTGACTATCTCTGCTAAGAGAATCTTGATTATCTTTTATTTAACTTAAATATACAATAATATTAAACCATAGTGACGTTTAAAAAAATATTTATTAAATATATTTCGTACCTTTCACGTGAATTACATTTGTTGTCCATTTAAATTTCAAGTCAGTTTGCTCTACGATGCATTTCCATATACCATGATGAGACTTATTTATAGTAGGAACATAATCAACATTTGTAGCTACAGGCAATGTAACTCCATAGTCTTTCCATACGTTACCATTGATCATCCAATAAACTTTCAAATTAGAATATACATAACCGAGGATAGCACAGTGGCATGTTACATGCATAGGTAGAGTTTCACGAATAGTAATGCTTTCCTTAATAGGAACTACTGCCAAAGTTATCACCTTAATTATCATATATGTTCCATCTATTCGATGTGCAGTAAGCGTATATACGCCCGAATCGTTTAATACTGCTCTATTTATTACTGTAAATATTAACAAAATTATATATGTTAATTTGTACGTATCGTTACGTATAAATAATCAATTATCGTGAATAAATGTTATATTACGTACTGATTTCGTAATCTTTAATTTCCAATCTGTGATGATTGTTTTGAATAAAAATTCCATTATGGGACCACTGTATTTCAGAATTAGGTGATTCAATTCTGATGGTATTCACAATATTAGAATCTGAAGGGAGTGATATTGATGCATATTCCTTCACAGTAAAAGCAGTGTGATTATATGCGATAACTTTTTTTATTAAAGTTATGGTATCTACAATTAAAACGTAAAAATTATTATAACATATTTTTAAAACAATTAGTATACAAAAAAAGAGACAAATATTCGATATAATATTACATAATATTATATAATGTGATATCACATGATATTTATTTATATAATATGACTCTATTTTAATATTTTTATATGTAAAAGAATTTTAATACTTTATAATTTAAAAAATCCATATTAGTAAAAAAATTATAATAATAATTTTATCTTCAAAATGGCAATTGCCTTTATGTGACTTTGAAGAAATTACTTTTTTGGGAGATGGTTCTTTTAAAATGAGATACCTGGTAGATTCTTTCACATACAGAAATATTTAATAAAATATTTCTAAAAATATTTCTATTAACAAAATATTTTGTTAATAGAAAAATGAAAATATTATTAAATATTAGTAAATAATTAGATAATGATCCGCATCAGTATACCATCAGTTATGTCCCCACAAAGAATTGTATTGCAACGACCTGTCATGCTGCTGGGTCCTGTACAAGGCTCCCCCCGCACATTAGGTTCCGGTGAATTACAATATCGTCTTCTAGTTCCTATACCACCGTTACAACTAGCACTACACATCCATGGTCCCCATTCTGACCATCCGCCATCTAAAGGAGGTCCATCGATATCTATATATAATTAAATAATTATAAGCAATAAGCTACAATATCAACAGTTCAAACATATAATAATGATTATCATTTTTTGTACTCTATAATGAATAAAAAATATCAAAATTAATAAATAGAGACATAAAGATCCTTAATATTATTTTAGAATACAATTTTTTTGTTTAAAACTTTTTTCTGAAATATTCAATCTTTTTCCTATATTATACCTGATGGTAAGCAATTCGCACTCCAAGTAGCCCAGCCTTTCGGATCCACGGCAAGCGAAAAAAAATAAAAAATGAGCGGTTGACGATGCACATAATAAAACACGTTTGTCTTGTTGCAAAATACTTCAATCGTATTTTCAGACCATCTTTTCGACAAAATCACGAAAAAAACCATAAATAAGTTGAATTATATATTTTAATTAGATTCCATAGAATATACAAATATACGTTCAGTTAGATTACTTTATAGTAACATTTGTCCAGGAATTTGTATTGAATATAGGTTTGAGTGCGTTCCCTTTGTGATAAATTCTTACTCTAGGATATGTATTTTTCAGAAAATATATCCACTGACCTCGTTCACCGAGTGTAAGTACGTAAAATCTATAAAATGTAACATGTTATAAATAGAAATAAAGATCAGCAAAATAATTATTTTTATTTACCCTGATGTTGCAGGCAATAAAAATAACGGTATTAGAACAACACCTTTGGCGCGGATCATTAACATTAGTTTATTAGGTCTGACTATTTCTTCTTTAGACCATATTGATAGTGGAAGTATTCTAGTATAACGATTGGTTTGTGTGTTCTCTATATGGCATCCTGTATGATAGTAGAACAGAAGATAATAAAAGAAACAAAAATTTTGGAAATAATTGTAAATATTCATTTTAAATAACAAAATATACTTAAGGCACAATCGAAAGCAACTCCTATCGCATGACCTTCTTCGCTATTATAATAATAATAAATTGGTAAAAATGCTTTGGATGATTCAGGATGTTTCCATTCAAACAGCGGATTTGATGTTCCTTCATAATAAAGAAGAACGTGTCCTCGAGGTATACGAATAACAAAGTTACTCCATTTGCCAAGATATAATAAATGTGGTAATGTTTTTTTCTTCACCAAAATTATGTCTTATGAATAGTTAAGAAATAAATTAACTTATAAATAAAATTTATTATATAAATATACATGATTTCAAATTACCCCTTTCTTCTGATTCATAATACAGAAGTACCTTCTCGTTATCTAAAGCTCCAATCTTAAGAATATAACGAGATTTTAATCCATCGTCAGCAGTGAACACAAATGTTATGGAATCTGGATGGTCAGGTTCCCATGTTTTTAATGAGAAACGTAAGCCTTCTGTACGATATTCTGGTAAAACGTATAATCGTCGTCCAATGCCATGTCCCTTCACGAAAAATGTACATTCTTCTATAGAATAAATACAAATTTACCTATGTTTACACATGTGGCATAAATGGATTTGTAAATATATATATTACAGAAAAACTTTATTCGAAGATTGCAATGTTACAAATATATATATATATATATATTGC